GTAACATAATATTATGTTTTATATTGAAAAAATGAATATTCTTTCGTATATTCATTAATTAATCATTATGAAGGAGATTGCAATTTTATCATTGTTATCTAGAATAACAAACTAATTTTTCTAAAATGTAATTTGAATGGACAAATACAGATAAATCTGTCATTTTTTAGATTTGTTTTAAAACTAGCGATGCGTTCATATACTTTTTACACTTAACGTAGTCATGCAATCATAATAGGTACCCTTTACCTGAAAATATAAGCATCAGAATAAGTCTCGTCGTTAGGATACTTTAAGCTGTCGTGACACATCACATGATTTAGTAGTACTTTCTACAAGTATTATTATAAACTTCACGACAGTTCAAGGCAGTTTTATGCACCAAGACGATTTTCCAGTAAATTCCGTACATGACATTAAAAAAAAAAAATTTTGCACTCCTTCTCTATTAATAATGGTAATAAATTATTCTAACACTATATTTACCTTTATAGGGTATAACATGGTGTCCAGGTTCGGTTTGGTGGCCATTGACGCACGCTACCACCAAAATTACGAGGAATAATTTCAGCATAATTTCGTTTTGTTTTTGTCAGTCCTGAAAATGAAAACAAAACAATCAAACAATGTAGGTATAATCAACCATTTAGTCGGGTACATAATAATACACGTGAYGCGTTTGTTGTTTAACGTCTCAAAATAGTACCAATAGTGATTACTTTTTTGACGTTCAGACTCCAGACTAACGACCAACAATCGTTCAGTGTCATTAGCGATATATGAAACGGATCGTGAGTAACGGTCGACCTAACCTTACGCAAATCAATATCATTTATTGTACTTACTATAAACCCTGTTAGGGACAAGAGAGGGAGAATGGAAGGTCAGTATAGGGTACCCAATACAAGAGTATATAATATTMTAATATCTATACTTTTATGCTTGTTCAGCGTGATAGATTACCCGCTGTGTAACCGAGAACCGACTGTTGTCGTTTGTTAGAACCGTAAGACCATTGACTCCTGTAGGTAAACCAATCTGTTATCAAGGAAAGCAATCAGACTAAACATCTACTTAACATAAAACTTAATGAAATGATTCGGAAAGATGTTTRTTTTATCAATATTATCACCAAATAATATGATTAATAAATAATAACTGTACTGCAGTACATTTATTACCCRTGTGAATTGTATTAGCTATAGCTTTAGATGATTTTTAAATTACATCGAGAGTTTTAAGGAATTACGAATAAAAAAATTATATTATAAGCCGGAATAGTATAATACTGTAATGTATAATATAAATTATTATATTATTATATTATGGTACTTAATCATAAAAATTGACGTTTTTGTTTTCAATTAAATTTAAAATACAGGTATTAGGTATTTACATTTAAATAAAAACGTAGCAATTGGTAAATTAAGAAGTAAAAATAAAACATTTTCGTCATGACATATTATAGGTATCTACATTTTAATTGTTAATTTTGAAAAAATAAAATAAAGTTAAGCTTATTCGATAGAACCATAAAACAAATAATTGCAAAATAGAAACTAATTTTAATACTTTTTATTGTACTCCGTAAGTAATTATGTTAATTAGAAAGTTCGATTATATTTTTTTTATTAAATAACACATGGTTTTCAAATAAGTTACCTAATATTCTAAATTGCCAATGTGTTTAAGATCAATAATACAATTAAAATAATAAACAGTAGGTAGTCACTTCGGGCGAGTTAACCTAATTTAAACTGTGAATATATTTTTAATAAGAAGCTTTATATACGTATATGTTTACTTTCATAAATTATACACTGTCTATAGTGTCTAATGACTGTCCCTTAGTATTTAACTACAATACCTAAATACATTGTATAATTATATATTAGGTTTATTGAATATTACAAACAATACAAACCAGTAGATGCAGTTTATAGAACTTATATTTTTATCTAAAATAATAAAATGTCCATACTATTTCAATTATACGTTATTAAATACATTTTTGAGTATAGGTATCTAAAACGTTAAAATATTTTGAAATAATTTACAAACATTTTGATAATAGTTTTTCACTCGCAAAGCGGTCAGTGGCACACTGACACGCCATGTATACTATAGAGGTACCTACTAAATATGCAAATAAAAGTAGATGCTATTATATAAGCTATACTTTTTTTGTTTGATAGGTACTCAGTTCTCGTAAGCTATAAGATTACTGGATCATAATATTACACTACTAATTGTGTATACGTGACCTTTATCAGAAACAAATACCAAATAGGTACTACCAGTATTAAGTTCATACACAGTTTAATTAAGTAGTAATGCTGTTATAAAATCATAGTATACGTTTGGTATAAGTTCTGATTATATTATTAGTAAAAATAAATTGCAAGTCAAATGTTATTTATCTGACCAGATAAAAGTTATAGATTACATACAAAAAACAACAAAGAAAGAAGTAACTGTGTTCCTTTAATTTAATTGCAATTCAGATTATTATTACTTAATAGTTAAAACAAAAAATAGTAATGGGTAGGTATAGTATTTAATATTACTATATTGTTTATTTATTATACATTTATACTTGATAATTTTTTGGAATATTATTATTATTCAAAATATTATGATAGGTTAGGTAACCTAACCTAACGAATATTGTATTCAATTTCTAGCAAAGGATGGTGTTCACAGTGGATGGTTTAAAATATATTATTATTATTATTTTTTTTTTTTGTCGACCACAGTTAGTAATTGTTTGGAAGGGAATGTGGCTATAATCGAGCAAAAAAATGGACGGTACATAGGTAGTCATTTTAAGCCCAATACGGTTTCTTTTAAACTTAGATGAATACTTTATAATAAGAATGAAAGCGGAAAAAATGATTTCGATACTAATTTTTATTTTAAACCTACCGCGTCTTGAGCAGACACGTACACGCACGCATCCGGTTGGTGTAGAATACCTCCTTGTGTGGCTACCGTTTTATTTTTAACAAAAAAAGTACTCTTACAAACATATCCGCAATGAATACAAAACACAATAAAACGGTCAGTGGATACAATAATGCTCTCGTATTCTCAGTTCTTGGAACTAAAATGTCGTAAATATAGTTATAATTTTCTAATGTTATAATGGAATTGTAATGYATATTATAATRCTATAATATACTAATATATTATTTGTTTTAATTAGCCTCACACGTATTATTATATGTATTGTAATAATATGCATGATATTAAGAATTTAATGCACACAAACATTTTCAATAGAATAAAAATATATTTTAAGAAATAAATCTTCATAAGACCAAAGATAAAAACAATGAACTAATATTAACATCAAACTATACGACAGAATTGAGGTACAATATGTATATTATAAATTATAATACACATTATTATAATAGTCGGTAAAGTAAATTTATAAGAGTAGAAGCATGAAAACAAGAATATTTAATTTTTTGCTGACACACCAAAACTCTACAGTCTACACTGCAGTTTGCAGTTGTACCATACAGCAAATAAAAAGATCAAAGAATATTGAGTAGCTCTCGGCAAATGGTTAAATCCTGTGTAATTAATTTATTGGTAATAATTTATAATGACCACTATTTCATAAAAGCTTACTAACAAATAATATGTAAAAAAAATTATAAAATCTATTCTAAAAAACGCATGATTAAAATCATTTAGATTAATTAATAACAAATATGTATTACTTAGATAAAACCAATTTCATACAAATAAAAATAATTTTCTAATTCATTATTATACCTAACAATTAAGAACTACAGCATTCAATTTATATACGATAATTATAAAAATAACAAATCCTATTTTCTTATATATATATATAGGTACATAAAAATACATATTTATGTAATATTTATAAATATAAATTAATTTTGTTAGCTGAATAATAAATAAATATTATTAAGAAAAATTTTTTGTCGTATGTAACTCTGGATAGACTTTTTTGATACAATAAAAAAATCATAATAATATAAGATATTTAAGTATAATTCTTTAAATTTTTTTTTTTATTACTTAATTTTTATTTCCATAATMTGTTACATACATTTTGAATAATAAGTGAAATTTATGAATTTGACATCACAAGCTCTTATCCCTAAATGACCGTTTTCGACTTTTCCGTTCTCTCCTTACTTTCCATCATATCAAATTATCAATTAAATTATTAATACCTACACAAACTCTTCTTAAAACCAATTTGGACGTACGGAATCCAATTATGGGGCTCCACAAAACCTACAAAAGTCAACCGTATCCAGCRTTTCCAGTCAAAAGTCCTCTAGCGCATTATAACTAAAGCACGCTGCACGCTTCTACGTATCAAATCATACATTACATAATGACCTAGCCATCTCTCCTGTCAACGATGTAGCTAAGACTTTCTACAGACGTTTTAACTTCAACTTTCAAAACCATAAAAATCCTTTAATCAAAGATATTTCACAATTAAATAATAATGAATACTATTGTACCGATTATCACCTAATTAGGTATATTAAAGCATCACGTTAAATATTGTTAATCAGTCACCTACAACTATTTTAGTACGCATTTTATCACATCGTCGTAATTCTGAATGATTTTCAACAACGGGCGGTGTCCATTGACATGGGCCATTAATTTCATTGAATGATATAATATGTTAATTAACATACTCACATTTCAATACTATTATACGGTTTCAAATGGAAAAGGATTTTGTAATTTACGCAAAAAATCAATCCAAAAGTATCAGATTAATAAAAATGTAGAAAAAAATACGATATAATATAGTATGTACTTATACTACTTGTCCAAATATAGTACCTATACTAACTTATATATAAATATATCATAATCTATCGTCTATAATTGAAAAGTATGCTAAGCAGACTAAAATGCAATTGACTGAAGTAGTGGAGTTTGATAAAAGAAACAGCAATGACTATTGTCGTTAAAAAATTATTTATTTCCCGCTACAAAGAATCATCGAGTTATATGGAAAAGTAATCAAAAATAAAAATTACCATTATTGTCATAAAAATAAAATACAATCATGAATGAATGTTATTTTATAAAAAGAAGGTATTACCTGCAGTATACCTGTATTATGTTACATGTCACTTGTAAGAGATAATTATAATTATTTGAATTGAACATTTTAAAATCTCTGTTAATAATAAAGCAAATTAATAAATTTAATTTCATAAATTATATATTTTCTGTTTAAATATTAACATAAGTTGAAATTCAGGTCAATATGTGACATATKTATTTTCCAAAACTGTTAAATACCCAAACACACATTATAAGCTATTATTAACCATTGTTATTAAAGATTTAAATAAAATAAGATGAAATATTCGTTACTCACGCTTAGTCATTCTATTACAGTTTTACATAATTTAACCCATCATTTCAAATTTGTTTACACCAGCTATCTACCTAGGTATTCGATTCTCATTCTAGACTTGCGGCGCATTATAACTTTCGATTTTATCGCCATATAATCGGGTTACTATTTCATATRAGAAGACATAAGGAGTTTGATTATATGAAACACATATTATGAAC